GCTCCCAGCCAGGACTGGACTGGGGGCTCATCCAGACCGTTWAGCCAAGACGGGTTTTGCCCCTAGCATGGAGATGCTAGATACAATGCTAGGAGTTGCTTATTCCAAGCTGAGAACTCTGGTCTCGTTCCACGCGGACGTGACAAAGTGGAGGGGGTGACCGTCTTCGGCTCTTGCCGGTCCCAGTACTGGAATCTTCATCCTCCGTGGTCTTCGTCACTGAGGCGGAGCGGTCTGCCAGATGGCAAACTTTCCTCTCACAAGCGGTAGACCAGCAGCTTGGCAGCTGGGCCGACCGGTCCCGTCATCGTACGGCAGAGTCGGGTGCTACAACCAACAACATCACTCCCCAGGCCATCAACTTAAAAAAATGCGACTGGACCACAGCACAGAGGCCAGCACGAGTTGAATCTCTGCGTTGTTTTTAGGCCAGGTGTGCGTCCTGCATCATGGTTTGGAAGCAGGAGAAATGTGTATGGCTAAGGCTAGGTCCGCTAGTTCTGAAACTAGCCGCTCTCTGGTCCTTGCTAAACACAGTCACACAAAAATGTCTTCTCCCACCGTTCCACATTCGGTGGTCCGTTCCGCCCCCTCGTGGCCAGCGAACACACACACACTCTTCTCTTCACCCCGCTGGCGAATGGCGGACGTAAGAGAAGACAGGCAGCATGAGCCACATCACAAGCAGGGGCATGTCAACCCCGCCTCGTTTCAGCATTAATCCACCAATCACAGCCGCACGATGAGCGCTGTGTTTTGGCTCCGCTGAAACTCGCCTTAACTCATGCTCACGTACGGCCCCGGAGGCAACCCCTCCCGGGCCGCTTTCATAACGATGGTGCGCAGAGCTCCCCGGAGCTTCTGCACAGCCCTTTCGAGCCAAGCCTCCCATGGGTCACACGAGAGAGTGTGACGGCGGCGAAGGCTCTGAGTGGATCGGTTGCTACGACAACCGTTCTACAACCGGCGCATGCGCGAGCTCTCTCAGAGCGCAGCTCCGTCTGGGTACACACCTGTCCTATGGACAAGTGGATGAAGCGCTTGATAAAAAATGGGTTACAGGTTGCAGTTTGCAACCAAGCCTCACCGTTTCAGCAGGATCCGGGAGATCCACTTGTCGTCTCCTCAGCAGGATCTCGCTCTTCAAGCAGAGCTTCAGGAACTCCTAAACAAGGAAGTCTTTTTCCAGAGTTCCAAGTGGGAAGGAATACGAGGGTTTTTATTCCCGGTATTTCCTTGTTCTCAAAAAACGGGTGCAATGAGACCGATCCTGGATCTCTCGTTTTTTCAACAAATTCATACTGACAAGACCTTTTTCACATGTTGACTACCAAACAGATGCTTACATATGTTCAGGAAGGCGATTGGTTCACGTCARTCGACCTGAAAGACGCTTATTTTCATGTCCCGGTCATCCCGGCGCACAGAAAATACCTGCTTTTCTCTTTTCAGCAGACTCAGTACCAGTACAACCTGGTACTGAGTCTTTCGGTTACGCACTGGCACCACGCACCTTCTCAAAATGCGTAGAGACAGCACTGCAGCCTCTGCGCTCAGCGGGAATGAGAATCCTGTTTTATCTGGACGATTTGCTCCTGCTGGCTCCATCCAGACAGGAAGCAGCATCACAGACGGAGAAACTGTCAGCACACCTGAGGATGCTGGGTTTTTCCATAAACTGGAAAAAGAGTTCTCTCATTCCGGCCCAATCCATCACGTATCTGGGTGTGGATCTGGACTCTGTCACCATGACAGCTCATCTGTCCCTAACCAGAAAAGAGACTCTGCTGTCGCTGTTAGCGCATGTCAGACCCCGCAGGTCAGTGACAACTCTAACCATCATGCGTCTTTTGGGCATGATGTCAGCAGCCCACGCGGTGGTGCCGCTCGGGCTGCTACACACGAGACGCTTACAGCGGTGGTTCTCCCAGCTAAAGATCAATCCGATACGCCACAAGCGCAGGATCGTATCGATCCCCTCCTCAGTGGAGGCAGATCTGAGCCACTGGAGGAAACCGCACACGCTGTCGGCAGGCATCCCTCTGAGCAGAGCGACACATCACGTGCCGGTCTTCACAGACGCGTCACTGTCTGGGT